TGCATTAATGGCTAGAGGAACCCTTTTCTCCTTTACGTTAGAGAATGTCAGTGGCGGAACTATAGCCGGTGCAGCCAGTGCGTTGCATCTTGGCCTGCACACCATGGGGCCCATCGGGTGGCCAATGAACTTGGGGACACCTGATGGGCATTGCTGAACAGAGGGCCAGTCGGGCCTTTAAAAATGTGACAGGCTGGGACGAAGTGCGAGCTGGTCATTCCTCCCAACTTCTTATAGAGAGCGCTGGGTCGTCGGGAAGAGGAGGGAGGCTGCTGCACCTCAGGAAGCATGTGTGTCCATCCCGATGAAAGTCTGTGATACAGACTGAAACGTAAATTTTTATTTTGAGCTAATAAAAGCTAAGTTTTATTCATTCAACTTGGAAGTCCCTGGAGTGCTATCTTGTACTTTTGGCTGTATCTGTGTGTCAGAGTGTGCATCTGTGTGTCAGCGTGTCTATCTGTGTGTCAGAGTGTGGATCTGTGTGTCAGAGTTTGGATCTGTGTGTCAGAGTGTGCATTTGTGTGTCAGACTGTGTATCTGTGTGTCAGAGTGTGCATCTGTGTGTCAGAGTGTGCATCCGTGTGTCAGTGTGTGTTTGTATCTGTGTGTCAGGGTATGTGTATATGTCAGTGTGTGTATCTTAACGTTACTCAACAAATATGACATATGTTAAAATGATTGATACGCTACGGTGCTTTAATCTATAAAATTCTATGAACCATTTCCAATAATTCAGTCAGATGAAAATTATTTTTTTATTCATAGATATTAAATTTAATGGACCAGCTATTACTATTTCTTCATTGTTTGTTACATGGTGTTATAGTTATTCGGCTTTGGTATTTAACTTAATATTTTACTGATCACCAACTTAGAATATGTCAAATTATGATACTTTTTTTTATCACCAGCATAATGCAGTAGCTAGTAAATGTCCATTGTCCTAAGTAATCATTATTTCGCTCCCCCTTTTGTTGATAATTGGAGAATTAATGGGCCCTGAAATAGAGACCAATGTCATGTAGCAGCTGCAAAAGCACACACAACATCATCAATAAAAAGGAGCAGATGTCATGCTTTGAAGCCACAGGCTAATGGGTAATATGAGGAAGTAGCAATTCATAGAAAGTAGAAGAACCTTTGGAAGAGGCTCCTGCCTATACTAGTTAACCTTTTTTTATAATGTCATTGTTTGTAGATCAATCGCCTAACACAAATTGAACTTTAAATGTATAGAGCATCATGTACGGGTAATGCACTTTGCATCATACATTAGAATGTGCTGTTATACACGTGTACATGCAATAACCTCTTAAGGACTTTAAGGGGAAGGGAAACACAATATATCTCAAAATGTATGTTACAAATCGCAAATAAGAAAGCACCCTCACCCCCACCCCTCTTACTTCTGTACCCCACCCCAAACCCAGGACGAAAGAAGAATAATAGATGCCGACAAGATTGTTGAAAATATTTACTTGCTATGTACGTATGTTGAAACTACAGACAAACAACTGATATATGCATTCGAAAAGTTAGACTACTATGAAAAGCAGATTAATGTTATGCAAACCTGTACCACATACTCTATTCTGTACCCCCACCCCAAAAACAAACATCTTTCAAAATAAAGAATTTAAAAAAAAATAAAAAAAATTGTTAGAAAACTTTTAAATTATTTATCAACAAAAATTCCCGTAGACTTTAATGGGGTCTTCTGTGCATAAATCATTTGGAAATTGAATATCACAGTTTTATATCAAGGCCTATGTAAGAGATTACATGCACGCATTAGCTTACAGACAGACATAATTGTAAGTAAATAATAAATGCACTAACTTTGATTGGTTGTGTTCAACAGAAATCCCAGCGGTACATAACGGTGCAGAATAAATCTATCAGGTATTACCAGAAATGATCAGACTTGACGGGAAAGCCCATTAGCTTTGCAAGTTTCACATGCTGTCCATGTTATGCTGGCCTCCACCTTGGCCATGATTTATTCCTCTTGGAGCTCTGTATTAAGACACTGCCCCCTCCCCCCCAAAAAAAATATACTAACCTAATTATGTTAAAAAATATGCACATTTGTCTGTTGAGCCCAAGTTTGTATATATACATTTTGGTGAGATAATATTGAGATAAATGATACATTCTAAACCATATTGTTATTGTTAATAAAGCTTGAGATTTTTTATATGCACCTTCCCTTTAGCACCCGTGTATCTACACATTTATAAAGGGAAAGAATATGTTTAAATTAATATACTTAAACTTAGAAAGGAGAAATCTTACCTCTTAGAATTTGAATGCCTCTATAAACTATAACGGGAGGACTTTCGGGTCTTTCAACACACTTATATTTAATAAGGAGAGCAATCAATTTTTTTTCACAATAAGATATTAGTATCGTAGTAATTGCCCAGTAAGTACACGTTGAACACTGAATGATATAACAGAGAGTGGGGATTCAAAATTTTTTAACTTTCTTCCCTCCACTTACATTAATTAACCAATGCTTTTAATTGACAAAATGATGTAGTATGCACTTAGCTATTTTGTGATATTGATATCTATAAAGCTTTAATTTGGAATATAAATCTACAAATATTTATATAAAGCGAGCAAAGTAGGAAGGGGGATTGGATGTACTTGTCCATCTAGGGACAAATGACTTGGCTTGCAATAAGATTTCAGAGTTAAAGGAAGTATTTTTTTTGTTTTTGCCAATGATATACGGCAGGTTGTTTCCACACTGTCATTCTCTGAAGTTCTGCCTGTGCATAACACTCAGCACAACAGGCGGGTGCGTATTTGGGACTTTAACTTGTGACTTGGTGAATGGTGTCATTTGGCTTCATTTATCATTGTAGCTCTGTTTTAAGTGGAAATAAACTGTATAAAAAAGATGGTTTGCATCTTTCTCAAAAGGGAACACATGTTCTCAGTGAGCAGTTCAGAGGTTTTGCTAGGATGTATTGAAACTAGGAGGGAGGTGGGGGGCGAAAAAGGGTGATAAAACATCAATCCAATTGGCCCCCAATACAAGGACAGAAGGTGACTGTAGCAAGTGTGTCAAAAAATGATAAACTTAGTCATGTCTACAAATGCTTGCAGTTTAGGGAATAAGATCCATGAACTTGTGGCAACTGATAATGTAGATTTAATCACTGTTTCTGAGACATGGTATAATGAGAAAAATGACTGGGACATAGCAATACCAGGGTACTCTTTATATAGAAAAGACAGGGAAGGCAAGAAAGGGGAGGGGTGGCCCTGTATGTGAAGGCTAGCATAAAATCAGGACCGGCGTGTCCATAAGGCGGCACAGGTGGCCGCAAAAATTCGAATCCCTTGCCTCTGGCTGGGGACTCAGATTTTTCAATTCACTTTGCTCTCCCTGCAGCCAGCACACAGGAGCCTGGCAGTGAAGTCAGCCGGCCTCTTGTGATGATGCCCCTTTATTTCCCTCTGCAGCCCATGCCCCCCACATACTGCCCCTGCCCCTGTGCTCCCTCTACAGCCCTTCTATTTCTCTCTACAGCCCATGGCCCCACCATACTGCCCCTGCACCCACCATATGTAACGAGAATATACCCCAACACGCAGGATTCAGCTAAACAAAAGACAACACAGAGGAGAGATACGTCTACCGGACCTTAGAATGGCCGGACTCGACGTATTTGAGAGGAGACAGAGTCAGGAACAATCCGAAATCAAGGGCACAGAGAGACAGCGTAAACTAGGACAAGCCGGGGTCTGGTACACAGTAAACAACAAGCCGATAACCAGAACAGATAAGGATAAAGAGAAAACGTAGTCAGAAACAAAGCCAAGGTCAATACGGAGAAACACAACTGAACACAACAAGCGCTAAAGGGAACTGATACAGAAACCACGATAGGGCAAGGAACAAAGGAAAGAAGGTGAGTATAAATACCTAAACATCTAGTTTGATTGGTCCCTGTCACATCCACGCCCCCAAAAGGTAAGTGTATGGTGAGTGTGGCATGACAGGGACCAATGGGGTGCCTTTTCCAATTTAGGCACCCACTGTCCCTTTAAGAGCGCGCCCGATACCCGCGGCGCGCTCTTAGAGTATGTGGAACACGTGACCGCTACTAGTTACAGCGGTCGGCTGAGCCGCGCGCGGCTCGTGCAGCAGCAGGACCGCGCGCGGCTCGAACAGAGGACCCCGGCCGGCCTCTGGAAAGGGTAAGTACCGCTA